AATCTTGCTATATGTTAATGAACTAAATATTGTAACTATAGTTCTTACTTGATAACTGTTTTGTTATGTATTTTACTATGTTAATGTTAAAACCGTTCTTTTTATTTAGACAGAAAAGAGGAGATGATGGGGGAGGTCCTTCTGTGTATATGTTTGTCTTATTGGTTGAAAAATAAAGCACTGTTGGCCAATAGGAAAGCAAGATAGGTGGAACTAGGAGTCGAGGAGGATTCTGGGAAATGTAGTAACACAGGAGTCACCATGTGATCCTGGGAAGAGGACACATTCTACCGGTGTCCTTGATAAGTCAAGTCTTTATAAAATATATAGATTAATGGCTATGGTTGATAATTAAGACTGAGCTAGCAGATAAGAAATCCTAGTCATTGGCCAGCAGCATTGTAAATAATATAAGACTCTGTGTGTTATTTGGGTGCCCTAACATGGCGGAGGAACTCAGGCGGCTGGTGGAAAGAGTTATTGTTACAATGATGCATGGTGGAAGGAAAGAACCAATTTCAGAAAGTTGTCCTCAGACCTCCAGAAGAGTGCCACAACACACAAACACCCATGTTAATAATAATAATAATAATAATAATAATAATAATAATAATAGTAATAATAATAAAAGGCCTGGTGGCATGCACTGGGGAGGCAGAGACAGGAAGCTTCCTCAGGTTTGCTGGCCCGCCAGCCTAGTCTACTTAGAGAACCCCAGGCCCCAGTGAAAGATCCTGCCTCAAAAAACAAGGAGTGTGCCTCCTGAGGGACAACACCTGAGATTGACTTCTGGTCTCCACACACAGGTGCATGTACATACACCTGAGCACACATGTGCACTCCTACACACACGTGCCCACACACCTGCATGCACCCATGCACACACCTGCACACGCATGCACACATATGTGCATACGCACAGTCCCCACTGTCTCCTGACTGTGGATGCCATGTGACCAGCAGTTTGAAGTTTTTGCTGCCTTGACGTCTCTGCCATGATGAACTGTACCCTTAACCTATGTGCCAGAGTAAACTTTCTTCCTTGAGTTGCTTTTCTAGCAACAGGGAAAGAGCTGTTTTTATAGAAGATGCCCAAGACAGACATGTGACTGCCACCAGGGAGGGCGGAGCACAGCATCGCTCCTGAGGATGGTTGAAGAGACACAGAATCTGCCTTGTCTGAGCTTCCCACTTCCAGAACGTGAGAAATGCATTTCTGTTCTTTGGAAACCAAGCAGACACATATGATAAAGCAAAGGCCCCCCTGAGGGCCATTCCAGTAGGGGGTGATCTGTACAAATGCAGTCACTTCCTGTGTCTGTTCTCAGTGCTTTGCAAAAAGAAACTTCCAAAGTCTTCACAGTTCCCCAGGCAACCCCTAATAGCACTCCCATTTAAAAAGAATTTGTTTTATTTTTTGAGATTATAACTGTATCAATTTCCCCTTTCCTCTCTCTAAACACGCCCATATCTCTCTCTCCTTACTCTCTTTCAAATCCACGGCCTTTTTTCATTAATTGTAATTATATACATATATAAATTCCTAAATGAATAAGTACAACCTGCTCTGTCTGTACAATGTTACTTGCATGTATGTTTTCAGGCTGACCGTCTGGTATCGGATAACTAATTGCTGTGCTCTTCCCTGGGGAAGACTATTTCTTTAGTTCCCTGAGTGACCTGTGGTTTTCTGGGTAGGGTTGAGGCCTCCTGGGCTTTCGCCACGCACATTAGCATGTTTACTGTTGTTGCCAACTACACAGGACTAGTCATGGATCTTAGAGAACCTATAACCACCATTTTACTAAACCAGCACAATCCCTAACTATGTTCTACATTTGTTCCCATCAAGGAAACTTCCCTTTGCAACAGATGGAGACCCTTACAGAAAACCACAAGGCTCAAAATGCAGAGTTGTGAAACCCAGTCTCAAGCTATGACCCCAATAACCCATTTCTCCCTGATCTTAGAAAGCACCCCAACTGTCCCATGTTTCTGTCCCCCTGTACTCATAAGGCTTACTTAGAAGGACAAAGCTTACTTAGAAGATTTTCATGACTCCCACTGGGACTGAAGTGCACACAAGCATCTCCCATCTCTGACTCTTACCCCCAAAATCATGGGAGGTCAGTATCCCGGAATAAAAACAGCCAACACTGTAGAAACTTGGCGTCTTAAATCGCAAGCCCAGGAATCACCTCATCTCGAAGAACTCAGCAGTGGCCTCCTCACCCTCCCTCAGCCCAAGGAGTAGATTAGACCCTAGCAACCTAAGACTTCAAGGGCTCCTCTGGCTCAAGCTCACACCAAGAGCAGGGACTCTATCCCCAGCACACATCACACCTGGGGACCAGGAGGTGGTGAGGCTCCTACTAAGGTGTACGTACAGTCTCCAGGACAGCCCCGTTCATTTCCTCAACAGTCCTGTGGGAAATGTCACTTCTGGCCCCCGAAACTTTCCAAATCTCTTCTTTTCATGAAAAAGACCCAGGATGGAAGATTTCCTCACAGTCCTACCAAGAAGGAAGTGAACTTGCATTTACTCAGCACCAGCCACACCCCAATGCTGTCTGCCAGGAACAGCTGAAGTCTGAAGGCATGGCAGTGCGGGCCACTCATGCAGAGGGTTCTACTTGATCAGAGCCCCGCCCCTTATCTTGGCGACTCACCGACCGGTTGCTTTACCAAGAAGTCTTTGCTCTTTCTGTTTAGTTTCTTGCCTCAGCCCTCCATTCTCCTAATCTCTCCCCCAGCATCCCTCTCCTAGGTCACCAGTCTGCCTCCCTTCTGCTTTCCCTGCCTCTGACCTCTCCACACAATGACACCAGAAACACACATACATACAACAGTATTGCATGTATACAGCAGTATCTGCTCATAGGACAGAGAACAGCTGAATTCCCCCTGGCAGGTCCTAGACAGAGAGAAATCTACCCAGACACCCAGGCTTCACTATGACCGTCAGGGCATTGTGTCCTCCTCAAAAATCATTCCTTGTATCGTCACCAGAACCAAAATATATTGAGCCCCAATTTTTGCTGGGCCCTGGGGCCAAATGGACCCTGCCTTCCCATCCCGTCCTCTGTATAATGAAGCAGATGGCCAGGACCTATAGTTGAGGTCATCTGTATAGAGTCGTTTCTCTCCAGGGTAGCATGGTCACCTTTAGACAACATGAAGATCCTGCCGAGAGCCTTTGGGTGCTTTCCAATTCACAGTGGAAGACCATCTCGTTCCCTCCGTTGTGGCCAGCCTACTTCTCTGAGCTCCTCAGAGCTTTAGTTTCCGGTCCCTTTCTGCTCCCTCAGGCACACCTTGGGCTTTGATGTGAGCTGTTCTCACTCTGGAAGGCTCTGAGCATGATCCATGTTAAGTGTGCACCCATCATCTTATTGTAAACTTTACACAGAACCTATTTCTGATGTCCCTTTGTTTACTTTTGTTTGTGTTGGTGTCTTTTACTAGAATATGGTCTCCAAGAGCAGAGGCCTCTGTGTCTGAACTCAAACTGTGGCCACAATGCCCCCAAACAAGGCAAGTGTTTCACAGACTGTACTGAAAGACTGAATGAAAACCATAAAAGAGAGAAAAAGGCGTTGGTGTCCTGGACCTGAAGACTCAGGGCCAGCTAGATGGCTCAGCACCTGCAGCCAAGCTGACGTGAGTTCTATCCCATGGGACCCACATGGTGGGAGAGATCTGACTCCTGAAAGTTGTCCTCTGACCTCCACATGTGGACTGTGGCATGTTCACGCCTAACTCCTTGATAAATAAATATGATATAAATTAATTTAAAAAATGGTGACTCAGATGGGGCTTTCAAAAGAGGATACCTTAACTGAGTTTTATAGTGCCAAAGGGTGCCGAGATTGTCCTCCAGGCAGATCTGAGTAACCGTAGCCCAGCTGTAAGAGAATTATTACAAGGCAGCTGCTACTACCTCAGTTTCCAGGTGCTGAGCAGCAGCCATGGGCTGTTCTGTGAGCGCTTGCTTTCTTTTTAGACAGTGACATATGAAACCCAGGTCAGTTTGAATTCCCGATCTTCCCGAATGCTAGTTAAACTATATGCCTAGCCCTTGAAGAGTTTTAAAGTAGAAACTGGACAAGCATCTGGTTTATACTTTAAGAAGGATGTGTGCAGAGGGAGGACTGCAGACCCTGGGAGAGCTAGGGGCTGCTGTGACTGTCTAGCAGAGGCAGACATCCTGGAGATTAAATCAGCAGGATGTGGAGAGTAGGGAAAGGGTGAGGAGGGAGGTGTCAGTGATGACTCCCAAGTTTCAGGCTTGGGCAACTGGGTGGATGACGCTGCCATTCGCTGAGATGGGGACACGGGATGAGGAACAGGTTTGGGGGTGAAGATGTAGAATTAGGATTGTGGCTTGTCAAGTCAGGGGTGCTTAGGACAGTCATATGGAAGCCAGTTGCATTGCCCTCACCCAGGGACAGCAGTGTGAGCAGCAGCTATGTAAGTATGAAGGATTTTCGAGGAGATCAGGACTGTTCCTTCTGACAGCAAACATACCTGAAGGACGAACTCAGCCAGGATACAGGGGAAGTTGGGAAAGGACACCCAGAAGAGAGCAATGACACATCCCTACAGGGCTGAACGTAGGGGAACTTTGGTACACATTTTTCCCCCAACTGGGGCTGAGGTCCAGGATCTCCTTCTCAACCCAAGAGGATGATGCATTTGCGGGACTGGGGGTGGGGCACAGAACTCTCATTGCCCTCCTCCCTGCAAGCCTCAAGGGCCGGCCCAGTACATTAGCAGCTAGGCTAGTGAGGTGCATCCCTTTATCCTTAGACCCCAACCGGCTCAGAGAGTGCAGATGAGCAGGGAGCATGTGGGGATGCAGGAAGCCCTGGGCTGTCCTAGGGTGACAGTTATCCCCAAGCTCAGCAGTAACTTGCTGTCTCCAACCCGCTGCCGCGCTGTCCCTCCCGTTTGCACAACATGGCCCTCGCGGAGTTCCCTCCCGCGCCGCGGTTCTGTACCTGAAGTCTCTTTTCCTGGGTGCCTCTCGCTTCCAGGTGGTCAGGAAGGCCATGGACGCAGGCTGTCTGGGACCAGGGCGCTGGCGGCCCCTCGCGGTGACAGCTGCGGCAGGGACTCTCCCGTGGCAGCACCTGGACGCCTTGCGGGGCGGGCCCAGCTCCTCCCAACCCTGGCCGAGCGCCTCCCTTACAAACATCCTTGCAACAGGCCTGCCTGACGGGGACACATCCACTCTATCCAGAACCAGACTGGGATCTCATCTCGAACTGGTTGAGACCCATCCTTGGACACAGCGAGGGCCAAGTTTGTCCTGGATCACGCACTGGGCCAGTGGCAGGCTTACAACCTCGCCCCCATACTGAAGGGTGGCGATGGCCTTATCAGGGTTCTACCTGACAAAGGTGGCTCTACTAACCAACCCTTTCACCGCCTTTCCAGGGCTAACTGCTTCCAACTGGGTCAAGAGACAGGCACTGAGCACGAATGGAAGGGGGTTGCAGAAGGGACGAGGATGAAGGTTGCAGGCCAGACCAGGCCCCTGTTTACAGACTTCTGATCAGCAAGATTCAGCGGTGGATAAGACAGAGGTCATTACGCCACAGCCCCTCTCCGTGGGTCATGTGTGTCAGCATTTTACATGACCACTAAGGAAGAATTGGCTCTGGCACCCCACCAGTGCAGTCCAGCAGGCATCTGTGGGTACTTAGACAAACTCAGCCAAAGATAAGAAGCAGGGGAGCTGCTTGTAAACACTTGGATCCAGGACCTCCTCGAGGCTGTCTTGTAAGAGCGTGGGGGCTGAGAGCTCCCATCACCTTTTGGGCTGGGTCTGCCTCCCAGGTGCTTGTGCAATACAAGCTTCCTGTCCAATACATCGTGACTGAGTCTTCCATGTCAGGTGTTTTCAATATGTCAACCTCTGAGTCACAGGTTTGACACAAAATCTTATCTTCAACTTACTAAATACCACATACCTCCATTTCCCAGTTGGCAGAGATGAACAGTAGGGTTAGCCTCCAGAGACAATGTTGTAGAGCCAAGTCAGGTAACTCTCATCTTTTGCCCCATGGCTCCACTCTGCCTGCAGTCTCTGGCCCTGCCTCAAGTATACCATCTGGGTAGTTACTCAGCCCTGCTCGGCAGAGAAGAGGTAACATTTCCCCCTTTCTCTGAGCACACTGAGCACACACCTTGGAGTCTAGGGAGATCAACAAGAGCCTGAGAATGCTGCCTATCAAACCACAAAACTAGTGTGTCCAGACCTTGAAATTCCAGCTCATGTGTACCCAAAGGCTTTAGAAACCCCTGGGTCCACCAAGCCTGGTTCAGCTTGGCACTGAAGACAGCCAGGCTCCCCTGGACTCAGGCAAGAAACCTTGGGATAAGGACCCTAGTCTCCTACAGGCCCAGAGACAAGTCTATTAGAGGATTAAAGTCCCACCCAGCCTCTGGGCTCACAGCCAACATCACCTCCTCCAGGAAGCCTTCTAGGCTTTATTCCCTGGAAGTCTCTCCTGCCCAGAGGCTACATTTTTGTCTACTTCTTTCAAGTATTTAGAACTACTTTTTTGTTTGTTTTTGTTTTTCGAGACAGGGTTTCTCTGTGTAGCTTTGGAGCCTGTCCGGGAACTCATTCTGTACACCAGGCTGGCCTCACAGAGACCCGCCTGCCTCTGCCTCTGCCTCCTGAGTGCTGGAATTAAAGGCGGGCCCCACTACCGCCTAGCTAGAACTACATATTTTTAATTAATATTTTAAAAAAAATATTTAGTTCTGTGCATGCATTTGGAGTTCAGAGGCAACTTTTGAGCTGGCTCTCTTTCCTCCATGTGGGTTCTTGGGACTGAATTCAATCAGTCTTGGTGGCAAGTGCCTTTCCCCACTGAGCCATCTCACCAGCCCAAACCCCACATACTTTCAATAGTAATCCACAAAACCACTCTGGTTCTTCATGATCCCTCTTCTTCCCTCTCTCCTTCCCTCCCCTCCTCATTGTTTTGTTGAGACAGGGCTCAACTCTGTAACCTAGGCTGCCCTTGAACCATCTCCCTGTCCCAGCCTCCCAAATGCTGGGATTACATGCAGGAGCCACCATACCCAACTCTATTCTTCTGATTTTTATCTGAGGGTACAGAGGAGGTACCCCTGTCTGTCTTTCCTGGAACCTAGCGCCACTGTTACACACAGCTGAGTGAATGAGGGAACCAGAATACAGTAAATTGTTAGCAGCAGCAGGCACTATAGGGAGGGTGTTTACACACCAGTTCCAATGTCCTCACCTCAGCTCACAAGTTTAGAAATGATTCTGAGAATGTCAGGAGCTTGAGCTCAACCCAAGTTTCTTTTTTTTTTGTTTTGTTTTCTTGTTTTTTTGTTTTTTCAAGGGTTTTCCTGTGTAGTTTTGGAGCCTATCCTGGCACTCGCTCTGGAGACCAGGCTGGCCTCGAACTCAGATATCCGCCTGCCTCTGCCTGCCTCCCGAGTGCTGGGTCAACCCAAGTTTCTTAAACTTCTGGGCATTTCCCACTTTTCAGTGTCTATTTAGAACTGTATTTGGCATTATTTTAAACTCTTCAACTCCATCTTCAGAACATCCTTATCACCTGTGTCCTTTTACATTTTGGTTTCCCTAAAGATTTATTTTTGTGTGTCTGGGTATTCTGCTGCATGGACTTAGTGTACCACATTTGTGCACTGCCCACAGAGGCCATAAGATCATGTCCAATCCCTGGAACTGGAATTACAGACTGCTGTGAGCTGCCATGATGGTACTGGGAACTAAACCAGAGTCCTCTGCAGGAATAACAACTGCTCTTAACTAACAAACCATCCACCTTTCAGCCTCCTACATATCAGCTTAATAACTGAGACAGGTGGGCAGCAAGTACTTTGCCCCAGTAACATATATGCCAGGAGGGTTTTAGAGATAGGACTGACCAGTCAGGTGGCACATTCTTTCTGCCTGTCTGCCGTGCAAGTTCTTAGGATGTAAGGGCTTGGGAACCACTTTCCAAGCTCATCTTATTTTGCGTCTTGTAAGAGCCCTGAGGTAGAATGTAGTTTTATCATTCCCATCTCCCACTTGCTCTAGAACCAAGGCCTGGCTGAAACCTTGGCTTCAGACCTCCCTGTCCTTGTTTTCTCATGGCTAAACTTAGAACCGTAACAATACATACTACAAGAGCTGTTATGCCAATGAGCAAATACCAACAGAGTGGTTCTGCTAACAGTGTTCTGTGTACCTCTTTCAGTGATAATTTCATCCAGAATAAGAAAACAAGTGTTCTATATAAATGACTTAAAGGAAACAGCTTTATACCTTTTATTCAGAGATTACCATGTTCTTAAAATGCATCATTACCTTCTCTGTCTCACATTCTTGAGTGTGTGTGAGGCAACTCTAGCTGCCTCACAAAATGAGTCTTGAGGACTGAATACAGGCAATCCCCTGCCTCAGCAACTACTGTTCGGACTATAGGCATCATACTACCATCCCTGGCTCAAGATAATTGTTATATCATTCATGCATGCAGGACATATATAACATTAGGACCTGCATTTGAGATGGTTTTTAAAAATCAGTAGCTTTCATTTAGTCTTGTGACCCAGCACATATTCGATGACAAATTCTATTTGAGATTGGAAACTCTGCTCTTTAACACACTGAGAGATTTACAATGAACCAAAAGCATAGGTATGCAGTTACTCCAAAGACACATACAGCCACCCAACCAGCCAAACCAGACATCAGCTTGATAAACATATTCATTTAGGAAACCATGTCCGTGGACCAGGTAGCTGAGATCAACATGGGCCTGTGCACCAGGAAGGAAGGACTCAGATTCAAAGCCCAGTGACAAAGTTAATGGGAAGGTGATATTCCAGTCCTTACTAATCAGTCCCTGTGACCTCAATTAATAGATGCTGCCGCATTTACTGATGAAATCAGGTTTCTAAAGGTCTGACCTTAGAGCACACTGAACTCACTAAAGTAATAGTTCTCTTTTCCTCTCACTAACATCTACTCAGATCCTTACGACTCGTTTCCCCTCACCCTCAAGATAATAAGGTTTCTCTGTGTATAGCCCTGGCTGTCTTAGAACTCGCTCTGTAGACCAGGCTGGCTTTGAACTCAGCTTTATCTGCCTGCCTCTGTCTCCCTAGTGCTGGGATTAAAGGCATGCCCCCAGGGCCTGGCAATCCTATGATTTGTTACTCTCTTAGGATTCAGCCATAACACTTAGGGTAAACTTCTCTTGGATGACTTCACACTTTATTTTTCTCCCTAAAGAAATTGCCTCAATTACCAAGGAGGTTTTATACAAAAACCTAAGATGACTGGTTCTTTATCCACAAATAAAACGTATGGCTGTACTGAACTACTTGCAACTTTAAAAACTTACTTTCTACCACCCTTTTATTGTGTGTGTGGGGGAGGCTCATGGAATCTAGGGTGGACTTGAAAATTCCTTATATAGCCAACCACGACCTTCAACTCCTGATCCTCCTGTCTCCTTCCCTAGCTTTGGGACTACAGGCATGGAACATCCTGGCCCATTCATAGGGTGCTGGGGAATGAGCTGAGGACTTCATGCATTCTAGGCAAGCACCTGTCCACTGAGCTACAGGCTCAGTCCCTTTATTTCCCTAGTCATGTCTTTCTCCAGAGTCCATCCATCATCACTGGTTAGTCTGCATTTTGCCTGACTTACTGTTTTTAGTTCTTTGGCCTTAGACCTTTAGATGTCTTTCTTCCCTCTTTCCACTGTTTTTGAGATAAAAAAAAAAAAAAAATCTATGTGGCCTTAGCTTGCTTCAAAGTTGCAACTGTGCCTTTAATTCCCAGAATTTTCTTGTGTCACCATCCAGAATGTGATCTAATTAGGAAAAAACCACCACCTGCCTTATACTTGTACTTCTTTAACAAAAAGCAAAGCTGGCTCTTTCTGCCATATTTATGGATTAATGTTAATGATTAACAATTGAGTTCTCATATATCAGCAACTCATGTAAGTTAAACAAGACTATTAATTACACAATGCTTTTATTCAAAATTTATTTTATTTTTAATTATGTGTATGTGTTCGTATCTGTGCCTATGAGTATGGGTGCCTGAGTAGAACAGAAAACCCCATTGGGTTCCTGGAGCTGGAGTTACAGGCAGTTGTGTGCCATTAGTATGGGTACTAGGACTGTACCCACAAATGCTCATAACCACCTAGCCATCTCTCTAGGCCCTGAATATCAGTCCTTCCTTCCTCTCTTCCCTTCCCTGTCCTTCTCTCTCTCTCTCCCTCTGCCCCCTCCCTTTCCAGTCTCAACATGCAGCTCTGGCTGGCCTGGAACTCTATGTAGATCAGCTTGATCTCCAATTTAAGAGATCCACCTGCCTTGGCCTTTTCAGTGCTGAGATTAAGGGTATGCCCTGCCACACTGGACTCTGAAGAGTGTTTTAAGATATTAGGTGCAATGTAGTAGGTTTACTCCATTAACAGTGACTGGACAGATTCTTGTGGCATTTCTACTTGGGTTTATCTCTATTACGGAATAGAAGTTAAGCTCTGGAGCTAGTTTCTTGGGTTCTCACTTGGGTATTTCGGAAAAAATGGAGATAGTGCCTGTAATTTTCAGAGTTATGATTGTGAGGAGCGAGTAGACAGATATTTGGTAAACACTTAAGATCATGATAACAACCTTAAAAATATTACTTGCTATTATTTATCATGTACTGTTCTTACCATTTTCTTTTCTTTTCTTTTTTTTTTTTTTTTTTTTTTTTTTTTTTTTTTTTTTTTTTTTTTTGAGACAGGGTTTCTCTGTGGCTTTGGAGACTATCCTGGAACTCACTCTATACACCAGGCTGGTCTTGAACTCACAGAGATACGCCTGCCCCTGCCTCCCGAGTGCTGGGACTAAAGGCGTGCACCATCACCATCTGGCCCTACCATTTTCTATAAGCATTTTTTCCCACACAAGATGAAGCAAGGTATGCAAATTACGATGCTGGAATCAAGAGATCAGGACTCAATTCCTGATTCATCTACTTGTTAGCTATGTAACTTTCTCAGTACTAGGTCCCCCATTTCAAAAATGGTATAAAAACTGTCCCTACCATGAAAACTAGACAAGAAACCCACAAAATGCTTGCCATAGGGGTTCACACATACCACGCAGTCTACTATGTGAGGCTGGGAGAAGAGCTCATGGGTGAAGTGCTGGCCTGGCATGCATGGGGACCCAGGGTGGTGGTGGTGAACTTATTTCCTTAAAATAACTAATATAATAAAGGCATCAAGCTGGGTGGGGTATTACATACCTATAATCCCAACTACTCAGAAGAATAGAGTTGAAACACAGCAAGACCTCCATCTAAAAAAAAAGAAAACCGTTCAAGGTCAAACTGTCTAACTCATTAATGAGGAAAACCAAGTTCATGGTATCAAGGCCAAAGACCTTTCTTTTGTTGTTATTGTTGTTTGTTTTTAAAAGGGGTCTCACTTAATGTAGCTCAGGCTGACTTGGAATTAGGCACAGACGAGGCTGGCCAGAACTCAAAGGGTCTCTTTGCTTCTGCCCCCTGGATTAAAGGCACACACCACCATGCCTGGCTTAAAGAATTTTCTGAAAGTTGCTTTCTCAAAAATGGCAGAACAGGGATGGAGGACAGGAGCTTCCTAAATATACAAGGCACAGGTCCTGACTCAACAACAGAGATACAGCCACATATCTCAGGATCTACGCCTATGTAGGCCCATTTCCTAACTTTCTTTCACAAAACAGGACAAAGTAACAAAAAGGGATAATCAATATTTATTTATTCTATATAATACTGTCCAAAACACTTTATACAGGATAATGTATGCTGTTGGCACACCTATCGCTCCTCAAGCAAAGAAAAGTACAAAGCTTCAATGCAAAATGATAGATAGTTCACTTTTTATTTCTTAAAGTTTATTATTCTCATAATTACAACTGTAATTTATAAGTTTGAAACATGAGAAAAATTCTGTGAAGAGAGCTCAAATAAAGCTGAACAAATAGGTAAAAGATGGTTAAAACTTTGTTTCAAGCGCAGGCTCTGGAGCCAGGGTCAACACCATAAGACATCACAAATGACTCTTTAAGACATTTGTCCTATACAATCAAGCATGGAGATATAGATATGTTTATATAATATATACACAGTTTAGTACAACACTGGCCCACTGAGTATACACATCTTAACTAAGGATGAGTCTATATGACCCAGCTAAGTGCACTGAAGATTAGGGCACACTTACTACACATCAGAAGTTGCTGTTTATTAAGTTACAGATTTTTAATATTTCCAGAGTATTTTTTAATTAAAAAAGTTTTAAAGCATTTCAAACATTTTTCACTTTTCTCAGTGCAAAAGAAGGTTATTCAAGTCAACTTACCTTTCTCCTGAAGAGAGAGGGGGAGGGGGAACAAACAGAAAACACTGCCTATCACACTCTCAACATGACCTTCTCAGTCACTGTTTGCAACAAATACTTAGGCCACTGGATTAGTTATCACAATTAAAGCCTTGTGGTTATGATTCAGCCCTTATGTCGTATATATGACTTTTATGCTGAAATATTCATTTACAAAAGTAGAAAAAAGCAGTGCAAGAAGAAGGTGGTAGTTTGCTTTAAATTCCAGCCATCCAATAGTGTGTGGAAACAACAACAAAAACAAACAAAAAAGCACCATTTCAAGATGGACTGATTAGGTACTGTGGGGTTTATTTATAGGCCAGGTAGTAAGTTACTCTGGTTAACACAGTTCAATACCACCTTAACTTGGTGACCCTAGAGAATTTTTATTAGTTTGTAGGTGCATTTTCTTTATCTTGGTATTGAAAACACCAAATTAGTAACTCATGTTAAAAAAAAAAAGATCCAATTTATAGTCCACTTCACAGTTCATTTTAAATCCAGCTGTCTGTCAGGACAGTCTAGCAAAAGATGGGTGTAACAAAAGCAGGGCTCTGATAATTTGACAAGTCTGTTTATTTTTCTCCCAATTTAAAAACCAGGAATTTTTTGGGGGGTGGGGTGGGATAGGGAATAGCTTGCTAATTTTACAGGTGAAAAAAAGTAAAATAAATGAAATAATTTAAACTACAAAGACAGACAAAAAGCGAGGGAATATATGTTACTTCTTTCATTTGTATCACTGAAAATAGCTGGGCCGTCACTAAAGAAACAAAACATATAATGAAAAACCAAGTACCTTCCAATTCTAGCTCAGGACACTTCTGAACTAAGAAGGCCAGTGTGGCTGCAAGGCGGATGGGTTCAGGCTAACTGTTTGCTTAAACTGACAGGCTGTATTTTAATTTACAAGTTTTCCTCACTAGCACTTAATATGAACATTTCCTTACAAATTTGATTTGTAAGATTTTTTTTTAAACTAGGAAATGTGCATCGAGGTATCTGTTAATATTAAAATTCTTTTAAGTCCAGAGAAAGTTGTTTTAAAGATGTTTCACATACAAGGCTTTAATGCTTTTATTTATGAATTACTTGAGCCTGGAGCAATAATAGTTTAAATTAATTCATCTAGTGGAGCTGATCTTTACAGAATATGTTGCCTTGTCTCTAGATAACAAGTTGTATTTTCTCCAGAAGTACATATGATGCACTTTTAACTGGCTATTGTACTGAAAAAAGAAACAGGATGCTCTTTCCCTTTCCTCTCTTCCACCTCTCAGCTCAGGGAGAATACCTGCACACTTTCAGAACTCCAGTTGCTGTCATAGGAACTACAGAACAAGGGGCAGAACAGCACGAAACTACATCTGCTAGGTTCCAGAGGGCAGAGGCGTGGTGCTCTAGCTTTTCAGGGAATAGTATAAGCAGGCAAGAGCTCACTGTAAATGCACACCAGAACAGGGGTCTAGGGGACGCTGTCTAACTAGGGTACTGTTTTTGGAAGAAAAAATAAAAGACACATTTGAAATAGCTCCCCCCCCAAAAAAGAAACCACAAGCTCCACTTCTGTCACATTTATAGGAATCTCAAACTTTTTGTATCCCATGCTCATAGGAAGTTTGATGCACATGGTAAATAGCTGCAGCATCCAAGAAGAGCACTGTCCTGCTGACAAAGGATAGGTATCTCTTCATGCTTCTGATATCTCCGATTTGCTTAGTGCAATGGCAAGCTCCAGGTCTTCTTGTTCCTGCTGGTTGAGTCTGGCAAGCCTCTGCTCCTCTTCTTTCTCACTTTCCCTCTTCGCCCATTCAATCATATCTTCTTCAGAGGGATACTACCATGTAAAAGACCACAAGATGACTGAATGAGAAAAATAAACAAAGACTTCCAGAAGACGTTTTATAAAAGAGCATTGACTACTTCATTTACCTAGAGGACTCTGGGAATAGTGTTGCTTCCTTGTTGTTTGTCTGAAAATATGTCTTACTACTTAGTGAGCTCTATCTGAATTTAAAAATTTAATGCAATCTTTGTGAAGTAAAGTCTACAAAAATACAATAAAGTCTGTAAAATAAAATATTAAAAGCATCACTTTAAAAAGTAGAAGTTACAGGCATGGTGGCACATGCCTGTAGTCCTAGAATATGGGAGCCTGAGGCAGGAGGACTTCAAATCAGAAGCCAATCTGGGACATATAGTGATATCCTATCTCAAAACTGGAGACATGCTTAGGTTAGACTAAAAACAGGAGTGGTGTAGTCTTTCAATTCAATGTAAAATGCTTGCTATTTAAACTTTAGTGATGACTTATCACATAGTGATACTTTCCCTTCCCTTCCTTGCTTTTTTTGAACTTAGAATCTCACTAGGTGGCTCAAGTTGGCCTCAAACTTGTGATCCTCCTGCCTGTGTCCTGAGTGGTGGAATTACAACCATATGGCAGCATGCCTGAGTGATGCATAAGATTAATGCCACCGGTGATTGGTGATCGGAAGCTGCCTTACCTGGCCTTTCAGGGAACACCAAAACTGTAAAGCAAAAACAGGCAAATTCTGCTATATATAAGAACATCAGATAGATTAACAGTATGTGAACCAAATATTTTTAAAACACATTATGAAGATTCTTTTATACATAACCCAGTGTGTATATGTACATATATATACACATATATATATGTTTATATATTTAATAAAACCTTAATATTGATGATGATTAGATTGAAAAAAAATATTTGTCACTACAATCAAATTACAAAGAAACTAGATACAAAACTCTACTTGGTTTCAGTGTTGACACATGAGGAGGCCCATCAAAACAAGTGAAACAAACTAGAAAGCTTTTGACAGTGTACATGTATCTCTTGGTATGGTTGCCAAATCTCGAACAATGAAATTGGAAGACTTCACTGTGAGCTACTTTATGCTGTACTGTACTGATATTCTGAGTATGAAATAAGCAAAATGCCTCCACTATTGTTCAAGATTCATTCCAACCAGGTTTTGACTTGCAGGACCATATTTAACATACTGAATGTCACAAACTCCCGTGTTATTTTATACCAAGGATTACAATCTAAGAAAGCCAATTCTTTTCTTCGTGAAACAACTCAAATTCCACCTGATATGGAAGATGATCCTGAGGTGCCATTTCTTTTCAATATTAAAAATAGGGATTTCTATCTTGTTCCTTCACATTTAGGAGATGCCACGGAACCTAAGAGGACAGACTCAAAAGGTAGGTACTGCAACTACCTTAGCTGCATATGGATTCCTGCCTGTCCCTTTTCTAAGTATGCAGAGTAGCAACAGGGATAAAATAACTACTGAAATGACCCAAATGGTACCCAGAGGAGGAAAACATTAGGCAAACTGTGGCCAGGGACATTTGGCCACTCAATCTCGAATCTCCAAAGTCAAGGATAAAAGGTGATACATAGGGAAATTCCTCTTACAGAACAGGCAGTAGTAATGAATGTCACTTTGACTGAAAAAAAAAAAATCTGGTAAAATGAAACTTTGTTAGCTACTTTAAGAATTTCATTAAAAAAAGATCTGTTTTATCTGAGCAATGACGAAATACATGATGCAGCTACAACTGGTTGCTCCATTTCTCCATAAAGGCCTTGCCCAAGCTGTTCTCATAACACTTCTCCAAGTTTCTTAAAGAATTCTTAGATTTTTTTTTTTTTTTTCCCTAGACAGAGTTTCTCTGTGTAGCTATGTAGCCCAGGCTGGCCTCGAACTCAGGGAGATTCCCCTGCCTCTGCCTCCAGAGTGCTGGGATTAAAGGTGTGCACCACCACCACCCGGCAAGAATTCTTAGATATTAACAACAGTTTATTTCGTAAAACTGAAAAGGGTATCATGGTAGAGCACAAACTTAGCATGAATGAGTAACTGGGTTTACAGACTGATAAAAAGAACCACAACAACAAACCATGAAAGCTAGTACATGAATATAGTGGGTAAAGAGTGTTGCTTTGTATTCAAAGAACCCCAGCACTGTCCTCTCACAGAAACTGCCAACCAGTCTCTAGAAACTGCTAAAACTTTGTACACAAACACACATACACAGTTATAAATATACAAGCTTGTTACTGGCATTATACACAGTAGGCAGACAGCAAACTTTTAAATCACCATCATGCATGACAATTTGCCAAATATAACTGTTGAGACTTTACTTATATTTATATTACCAGGACTGAAAGACAGGTTTATAAAACAACTTGTTTAAAGAACCAAGACAACTAAAATCAGCTGAACAATGGAATCATCTAAGAACCAGCAAAACAAATGCAAACAGATTTTGCTTGGGGAGAATAAAAGATAATTTTTAGTATGTTGGCAAAATGATGCAAATTTGGAAGACTATGAAGAAATCTTTGACAACTCTTCAAACTATAATGGAAAGATTTTCCCCCAAACAGCCCATTCACAGTACTTACAGCACTGAAGTTAGCAAAATTGCTTGGGTCAGCCTCTTTATTGGTAGTGGCAGTAGAAGTGAATGGATCACAAAACATATCAGGATCTTTTTCTTTGGGACTATCATTGCCTGGGAAAGGCTGAAATGGATCATTCAGTTTAAAGGGATCAGAAGAATCCAATTTGTTGATGGGTCTTTTCCCTGGATCAAAATCATTACAATTAACCAGTAGATATAGAAAACACAAGCACACAAGAACATGTTCACAGGGAGCGTTAAAGAACTGCAGGTGGGGGACAGAGGTCCAGGCACATTCTCAATGTGGCCCTCAGTGGTCACACCACTGTCCTCAAAGCTTTCACACTTCTCTCTCAAATAATTTCAGGTGCAGCTAAATGGACAAAGACCAAAACCAAAAAAGTGGAAATGAGCTAAGAATCATGATCTTGTCCAATGATGAAGTCTTTCTCCATTTAAAGAGGCATGCTCCTAAGAAAGATAATGATAAACAAGGAACACTGATAAAGAATAAACACAGCCTCAGCCTCTCACTAGCGGCAGCAAAGATATGTGACTCTGAAATGTGGCAAATTTCTTTTGTCTTTTCTCTAGTATATTTACACATACATAATGCTAGCAGCATAAAACATAAGATTAACTTGACAAAACCTCTTATTTTTTTGCCATCTATAAAACTTCAAGCTGAGGATGAGAAACACTTCGAAGTCCATAGCCTTTATAAAAAGCTGCTGACAAGCTAAACTTTGACCAAGAAACAGTATAATTCACCACCCATCATTTCAATACCACTTTAAAGCAAGTTTATTTATTTATTAGTTTACTCAAAACAGGGTTTCTCTGTGTAACCCTGGCTGTCCTGGAACTTCTTGTGTAGGCCAGGCTGGCCTTAAACTCAGAGATCCACCTGCCTCCGCCTCCTAAGTGCAAGAACTAAAGGCATGTGCTATCATGCCTAGCTGTCTCTAATTTTAAAGTTTTAGTTAAAGTGCCATACTTCTTGAAAAAAAGAGAAGTTTAAGTTTCTTTATATATGATTTTCCTATAGTGCAATATGCTGGCAGTCATAATTAATTCTTTTTATAAACATACTTTACAAAAGATGCTTGTATCAAATATCACTCCACATGCCTTTGGAAAGTCCTGTGAAGGCAGGCAAGATCTGAGTTACAGCTACCATATAACAACTAAGACATTGAGGCTTTAGACATAGGAAATAATACACTTAAGATCACAAAGTAATAGATCCAGTTGTAGCTTATGAAGCCCTATGTTTGCTCTACAGCTTCACTAAAAAATCCAAACAAAGAAACAAAAATCCCAAACAAGCCGGGTGTTGGTGGCGCACGCCTTTAATCCCAGCACTTGGGAGGCAGAGGCAGGCGGATCTCTGTGAGTTCGAGGCCAGCCTGGTCTCCAGAGCAAGCACCAGGATGGGTTCCAAAGCTACACAGAGAAACGCTGCCTCAACCCCCCCCCCCACGCCAAAAAAAGAAAATCCCAAACAAAGGAAAACAAAACCAAGCCTGGGGTCAATCCTAGCACTTGGAATGTGGCAGTAGGAGGATGAAGAATTCAGTTTGAGGGCAGGCTGAGATACATGGGGCACTATCCAAAAACAAAACAAAACAAACAAACCCAAATAACTAAAGGGCTGGGAATATAACTCTGTGCTACAGTGCTAACCTAGCATTTTTGAGACCACAGGGTTGGGGGTGGGGTTCACAAACTGAGGCTGGGGTTAACCAGAATATAAATTTAAGGGCCCTAATCAGTGACCTTTTCAACAAACCATTCTTTCCTTTGCTCTTTCTACAAAGATGTACACTTGAATGTTTTCAGCATTATTGTGTATGCTGTACATGGTGTGTATGTGTATAATGGCACACATAAACACACAAATATATATATATATATATATATATATATATATATATATAACGAGAGAGAGAGAGAGAACGAGAGAGAGAGAGAACAAACATGTGTGCCACAGTGCATGTGTATATGGCGAGTGTTCTCAGAGTCAGTTCTGTCTCTGAACCTTTACACGGATTCTGGGACTTGAATACAGGTCACCAGCCTAATGCAGCAAGTATTTGTGCCCCATTAACCCACCTATCTCACTAGCCTGATGGGGGATCTCCTCCTGTATGCTGTTAATAAATGTATCTCTTATTGGTTGATGAATAGCCAGGCAGGTAGTATAGGCAGGGCTACCTATTTATTTATTTATTTATTAGTTTACTCAAAACAGGGTTTCTCTGTGTAACCTGAATTCTGGGGATAGGACGAAGAGAGGAGCCATCAGAGAGACACCATGTAGCTACCCAGGAAGATAGGATGCTGAGCATTCTCCGGTAAGCCAAGACCATGTGTAAATAATTAGATTAATAGATATGGGTTAATAATTAAGAGAGAACTAGCCAATAAGAAGTCTGAGCCATCGGCCAGTTTATAATTAATACAAGTCTCTGTGTGTTTATTTGTAACTGAAGGGAGACGGCGGGACCAGGCGGAACAGAAACTCTTGTCTACACTAGCCTTATTCTCAGTATAAGGCGTTTGGGTTTTAAAAGTATACTCACATGAGTGTAAAAGAGTAAATGAACAAAATATTACTTTAAAAATATAGACTCTGATCAACTTACTTCTAACAATGTATATGATACAGGTGACTCTCTTTAAAAGATGAAAACCACTTAACTCGTTTACCTAAGTTTTGAATAGATATTTATACACTAGCAACTACATGTGCAACCTGTATCAAATACCATGGGGAAGTTATTATGAAAAGGCAGAATGATTATCTAACAAAAAAAAAAAGTGATCATCTAACTTTGAGGGCTGAAATGTTACCCAGGAATGATCTAGGATAAAAAAAAAAAAAACTGTGCCTAACAACATTCTGTGTCCTCTCACCGAGCAGTTTGACACTACTACCCATATGCAGGGGCACTGCCTTCATAGATACTTTATTCTGCATTAAAAACAAACTTTCCTTGGTGTAAACAAAACAAAATAAAAAAATACAACTACAATCTGTTCCTAGACTAGACAAAAAATTTTAAAATCAGACTTTTAGAGCCAGGTGTGATGGTATACATCTTTAAACCTAACACTCAAGTAACAGAGGCAGGAGGATCTTTAAAAGTTTTGAGTTCAAGGCCAGCCTGGTCTACAGAGCAAGTTCCAAGCCAGCCAAGGCTACTTAGATCCTGTCTCAAACAAAACAAAACAAACAAATTCTATTATAAACTAAAAGAGTTTTAAAGGGCAAACAGTTCTTCTTTTTTAAACCACTTTTGCCAGCCCCTTCCATGCATTTTTCTAGGTATAAATAAATAAAAAATAAAGGATTCATGGAAACTTCAGATTAGTTTTCTCTCAAGAAAATTTAAAAACTCGAGTACAGGAAATTGCTATTCAAATGATAATCAATGGGTTTCCAAAAAAAAAAAAAAAAAAAAAAAAAAACCAAAGAGATTTCACCCATACTTTTTCTGAAATGGGGAGCAGGGAGTAACACAGGACCAGCTGGAAGAGGTCAGCAGCAAGTCTTGCTAAGTGCTTGGCTCTTGCTTACAGCGCTTTAATAAGAAAGGCCCACATTATACTTTCTAGAGAGGGAAAAGGCATAAAGTTGAACTAGGAAAGGCCCCAACTCTCATACCAGGGGGTGGCGGGCAGGGTCTTGTTGGAGTTCCAATCTTGGGTGGCAGTGCTGGAGGTACATCCTCACTCTTGGTGGATGTTTCCTCTAACACAGTTTTTGGAACGACCACATTGCTGGAAGAACTTGATATGGTAGGATTAAAAGGATCTTCATTGTTGACCTTTATTCAAAGAGAAACATTTATACAGTTTGATATACATATGATCATATTGTTCACAGGTGAATGATATATCAGCAGTGTTATTTCAATTCCCAGAAGTGACATTTTACTCTTCACATTCAAGAACAAACAGGATTAAAACTGATCTTTATGAGTAGGTATTTTCACAGCATTACTTATCAAGAGAAACAGACATCCAAATAAGGCAACTCTAGATTGAAGACTTATTAGTAAGTAAGCATTAGGCAATACAAAACTTCTTAAGGTCCCAACAGACTGTCTGAGCTGAAAGATAACACAACAAGGGGAATGGCTGATTCTATGCTTCTCAGTGCACTTAAATATAGAAGAGACAATAAATATTAAAGAAAATGGCTTCTAGAAAAACTGTAAAGACAATCTGAAAGTCAATTTTTTAAAAAGCAAACTGATCCCATGGAACATTAAGTCTTAATGTGGATCTGAAAACCCTGACTTTCAAATATATGGGGATTATGAAAGGCTGGCTTTACTGTAACAAATCAGATTATGACTTACTTAGACCAATGCTTTACTTTCTTATTTTTTTCCTTCCCATTTTGGTTTTTTGAGATGGGTTTTTCCATGCAGCCCTGGAACTTTTCCATGTCCCACAACTTGCTTTGTAAGACCAGGCTGGCCTCAATCTCACTAAGATCTGACTGCCTCCGCCTCCTGAGTGCTAGGATTAAAGGCGTGTGCCACCGCCACCGGGCTAGGCCAGTGTTTTTCAATACTAGCACAACTAACTTTTAGGGATGGAATAACTACAACATTCAGGGGGCGGGAGTGGTGTCTTTGCAGTGTACTGAAGGATGTACTCATTAGATATCAGCAGCATCTTCCACCTAGTTCTGAGAACCACAAATGTCTCTGGATACTGCCAAATGTTCCCTGGAGACAAACAATTTGGCATATCTTCAAATCCTCTCAAATCCTTTCTTTAAGCCTAAATCAATACTACAGCTATGCTGGACAACAGAGTGGATACCCAGCACTAGAGTTTATGCACTTTTAACTTGGTGCAGACCCGAATAACTTAAAAGGATAAAATCAAATAGTCAGTATACAGGGGATAGGATGAATGTTAAGGCTATTGGCCCAGACAGTACACAGGGAAAAAATGTAACTCCACTGCAAAAAACATTAAACAGACAGACAACTCTATTATGACACTGAGTACACCTTTCAGAAGAAAAGGTAACCACCTATACTACTGCCTCCTATGGATAGAAATTGGATTACTTTGCAGCCCATCTGTAATATCCATCTGAAATCAGCCCTGCTATGGACTGACTGCAGTCACACTCACGCTTGTCAGAGTGTTCTAACTGTAAGGAGGTCACTCATTTGATGGAACACAGACGTATTGTTCTGTCCTATTAATCACCAAAGATTACCTTTGACAATGTGCTGAAGTCAGCAAATCCATCCCCAAATGATTCATTTCCAAAAACAGAAGCAAAAGGGTCTGTGGCTAAAAGGAGTAAAGAAAATCAATGTAAGACACCATATTTCATGTCCTTTTTTCTATTCAGTAACATTCAGAAAAATAATTCCTAAATTTATGACTGATGTCTATACAGACCAGGTATCCACTGAAAAATCTCATATGGTGTATTCCTTTGTATAAATCAGCAGTAAATGACCCAAGAGCAAAACCGTGCAGCAAATGCTCTTAACTGCTGAACCATCTCCCCAGCCAGTTCTGTTATTTTTTTTTTCCAAAAACAACAACAACGACACAAAAAGATTCTTATCTTGTAGTCCAGCTAGTCTGGAATTCACTATGTAGTGCATATTCTGTAGCTCAGGCTAGTCATGAACTTATAGCAATCCTACCTCACCCTCCTAAGAACTAGGATTTTAAGGTGTTATCATCACACCCAGCTAATTTGTAGTCATCTTTTTTCTTTCTTGTATTTGGGTGCACCTGTGTGTACACATGCATATGTGTGGTTTGGGCACATGAATGTTCACAGCAACATCAGAGCAGAACACTGGATGTTTTCCTTTCCTTTACTGCTCCCTACCTTTAGCCTTAAGACAAGGAGTCTAATCTCACTGAACCTGAAGCTTGTCATTTTGAATAGGCTAGTTGGTCAGTGAGCAAGTGAGCTGCAGGATCCACCTGTCTCTGCTTCCTGATGCTGAGGTTACAGGCAAATGCAGCCATGTCTAGCTTTTTATGTAAGTGCTGGTGATTCAAACTCAGATCCAAATGCTTGTACAGCAAGTGCTCTTACCCACTGACCCATTATCTTTCCAGCTCAACACTACATTGTATAAAGCAAAAGCAGCAGCTGCTGCTGCTGCTGCTGCTGCTTCTTCTTCTGCTTCTTTTTCTTTTTCTTTTTCCGAGACAGGGTTTCTCTGTGTAGCTTTGGAGACTATCCTGGCACTTGCTCTGGAGACCAGGCTGGCCCCGAACTCACAGAGATCCGCCTGCCTCTGCCTCCTGAGTGCTGGGATTAACGCCCGGCTAAAGCAAAAGCTTCTTATTGGTTTTATTGACACTGAACACAGTACATAGTCTAGAAAAACCTTTAGTGTGAATGACAAACAAGAAAATGAATAAGAAGAGTAAAAAGTGATACACAAATACTTGTTGCTGTTAGTATTGTGCTATAAATGGAAATAATTACACATCCATTTAAAAGTCATAATTAATAGGGCAAACACATTTAGAGAAGAAAATCTTAAAGAAAACGCAATGATTAACATGAATAAAACTGACAAAGTCTTTACCTGAATCACTAGCTGCAACAACAACTGTTCCACCAGGAGCAAATGGGTCATTGTGCTTCCAAATTTCTATCTAAAGAAATGGTACAAATTTATGACCGAGAGGCAACATTTCATAGCTGGAACTTCACTGTTAAACCTAAGAAAAATACTTTACAAAATTATGGATTAGAAAATACAAACATCTGGAACAGAGTTTTCCCTTTCCTTATATGTAGTCACAATGGATGAAAATACTCTTGGATTGCAAAATATTTAAAGTATGAGGCATGTGTATAATTTAACAAGTTAAGTTTCATGTGGACACTCAAGCAGTCATCTCACAGGAAGGTCCCAACACTCAGTAGGCTTCACGTGCCTCTCACAAGCCATAATCCCAAGCCCTCTTCTGTAGAGGTCACCTTTTGGTAGTACTGGGACTGACCCTAGAGCTCACACATGCTAAGTGCTCTGTCACTGAGCTGTATGTATTCCGAAGCCCTGCAGAGGTGACTAGTATCCTGGCTTTGATGGTACTCATTTCTTTTGCTTTATAAGCACATACATTAACTTTAGTGTGAAATTACTTAAAGAGTTGTATAGACAGTACAAAGTTCCCACATGCAATTCTAGCTGCCTCAAATATTAATATTTCATGAAATCATGGCCTATCTACTAAAACTAAGGATTTTTGACACCAGTAAAAAACCCAAGTTACAGTTATAGGCTTTATTTAGACTTCTACAATTCTTTCACTACTGTCCCCTTTTACTCCAAATATTACAATTTGTAACTACTGTTTAATAATAATTCTAGCAGGGCATGGTGTCACAGGCCTTTAATCCCAGCACATAGGAGGCAGAGGCAGAAGGACTTCTGTGAATCCGAGGCCACCCTGCTCTACATAGTGAGCTACAGGACAGCCAGGACTAGATAGAGACACTGTATCATAAAACAATAACAACAACAAAAACAAAACAAAAACCTAGAACTCTGCCCTTCAGAGGAACACACATACACATAAACAACCAAGGAGGGGAGGAAGCAGTAATGCCTTTATGGATGTAGTTTTTGTTCTATTTCTTCATCAAACAGTGCAACCACTCAAACACGAATGAGACAGAGTGTACAGCCGAGAAAAGAACAATGGCTATGCTGGGCACGGCAGTCCATGCCTTTAATCCCAGCACTCAGGAGGCAGAGGTAAACAGATCTCTGTATATTCAAGGTTAGCCTGGTCTACAAACTAAGTTCCAGGCCAGTCAAGGCTGGTACATAGAGAAACCTGTCTCAAACAAAACAGAGTAATGGTCATATATGCCTGACTGGCATAGTGGCACATGCTCGTTTATCCCAGCACCAGGGAGATACAGGCCAGAAGATCTAGAGTTTAAAGCCAGCTTCAACTATACAGTAAGTCCAAGGTCAATCTGGGCTATAGGAGACACTGACTTATAAAAAACAAACAAACATATACCACCAAAAACAACAACCCCCTCACCGCGCCCCCCCCCAAAAAAAACAGTGATCATAAAACTCTCCTTGGGCTATGTTCAATTTGATAATTAGGAAATTTAGCATGCAAAATAATTTTATTTATTTACTTATACAGGTATTCCCAGTGTGAGTGCTAGGAATTGAACCCATGTCCTTAAGAAGAGAGTAAGTTGCTCTAACTGGCCCCCAAAAGTAAGTTTCATAACTCAGCTTCATATGGTAGAATTTTATAGGAGTTAATGTTTTGAAACCCTTCTACAAATCACCTAATTATTATTCAAATTCTCTGGTACATCAGCCATTCACTCCTTACCTGACTGACTTAGTACTTGCATAACACTACTAAGTTTTGTTTCATTTAAATTAATTCCATCAGAGAGCAGGAGGCAGTCTTGAAGAATTGGAAAAGACTTTTGGGGAGAGAGTCTTATTTTCAAGTAAAATACGTACTATAGGCCAGTCAGTGGTGGTGCACGAATTTAATCCCAGCATTCAGGAGGCAGAGGCAGGGGTATCTCTGTGAGTTCAAGGCCAGCCTGTTCTACAGAGAGTTCAGGACAGCCACAGCTACACAGAGAAACTCTGTCTCAGAAAAAATAGTACTATTAATCTAACCTCTGTTATCCTCCCTTATATTACATTATTTCTCTTTTCATATTTCTTATCTCACATTGCCCAGGATGGCCTCAAACTAACAGCTGAAGTTGACCTTGAACTCCCAAACCTCTTACCCCACCTCCTAAGTTTTGGAATTACAGGCCTGTACCACCATATCTGGCTCACAATTCTTTTAAGGAAGCAATTATTCTTTTAAGGAGGTAATCTTAACCCAAGAGTTATACACAACAAAATAGTGTGAAATGCCTGCCAATTAATTATGCTTTTCTAGGTCCAGTTTACTTACAGCAATGAGATTGCTGCCTCAGAAAGTCTCAAAATAAAAAAACAATTAAAATATTTCATTCTGTTACTCTATTTTGAGTATTTCTAATTACTCAAATTCAATGGGAATTTTTAAAAATTTACTTTTATTTTATGTGCTGCATGTATGTGCATCTACTGAGTGTGTGTTTGTGCGTGTGTGCATGCTGGCCTGGTGCTTGCGGGAGTCCAGAGAGGGAGTTACAGACAACTGTGAGCTGTTGGAGGATGTGGGGAGCTGAACTGAAGTCTGTTACAGGCTGAGCATTTCCTCCGCCCCTATATAATTTTTTTTTTAAGTTTTCAAACACAAATACCTGGGACATATTAAAGAAACATGATTTTTTGAGACAGGGTTTCTCTGTGTAGCTCTGGCTTTCTCTTTGTAGATCAGGCTGGCCTCAAACTCTGAGATTTGCCTGCCTCTGCCTCCCCAGTGTTGGGATTAAAGATATGAGCCGCTACCACCACCCAGCCATAAATGCCTGGAGAGTTGGCTCAGCCATTAAAGGTTAGGCTCAAAACCAAAACTGTCTGTATTTTTAAAGCAGAGGTATCAACATTTGCCTTGTAAAGTGAAATTGAAGATTAGAGACAATGACTATATAGCACAGAGGCTTAGATCATAGTCTGTGGCTACTAAACAGAGGTTGTGGACATGTACTCAAGAAAGCTTGACATTCAATGGGAATTTATACTTTTCCAAGATTAACGTTCTAGGTATAACTATAAAATATCATGGATTATTTTATTTTTCTAAAATATTAATGCTTTCCCATTAAGTAATTTCTATTCTTTCAATACTATAACAGATATTTATAAAAAGTTTTACTTAAGACAGGCTTTTGAATTTCCAGTCACTTACACTTAATATCACCAACGGGATAAGGATGGACTTCATTTTGGGACACTGTAAATCATCCTCGTGTCCAGTGGGTGTTCAAGTATGAAACATTACATTAGACAAAAACTTGGATAGGTGGGAGCCAGACAAATTTCATATGGACCATTAAAAACAATCAAAAGGCAGATTCTATAGCTATATACTCAAGAAATTTCCTTAGGACACTTGTTTATCCGTCTGAACAATTTTTAGTTGTGTACTTACCGATGTATTGCTGCTATTGCTGGATGCACTGAAAGGGTCAGTGCTTGAAGTGGTAAAAGGGTCAGTAGAAGACTGCTTAAAGAAGCAGTCAGATGCAAATGGATCTGAACCTTTGAAAGGATCACCACCAAAAGGATCTAAGGAGAAAAAGAACAAATGTAAAAAGCTGAAAACCCACTGTAATTCCTTATTGTCTGTAAGCATATCATGACATTTCAATTAAAACACTTTAAGCATTCCCTATGAGCCACTATGACGTAGGGCTGGGTCTATCCACCATTCTTGCTCAAAAAGCCAAAGCCATTTCTTTTCTCCTCCTCCTCCTCCTCTTCCTCCTCCTCCTCCTCCTCTTCCTTCTTCTTCTTCTTCTTCTTCTTCTTCCTTCTTCCTTCTTCTTTTTTTTTGTTTTTTGTTTTTTCAAGACAGGGTTTCTCTGTGGCTTTGGAGGCTGTCCTGGACCTAGATCTTGTAGCCCAGGCTGTCTCGAACTCACAGAGATCCACCTGCCTCTGCCTCCCGAGTGCTGGGATTAAAGGCGTGCGCCACCAACGCCCGGCTTCTTTTCACTTCTTTTTTGTCCCTTTTGGGTGCTGGCCGGAGTCTAAGAATGCATCTCCTGGGACTTGGAGCTCTTTTACTCTTTGTAAAGCTCCTGCCCCCACAGTGTAGCTGCTTGTCTACCACATGGTTGACCTCCATGCCAGCTTAATGACAACACTGCTTTTCCCTCTCTTCTCCATTCCCTTCCTCTAAGTAACTGTTGAGACTTAAAACTGTCCTCTTTGATTAGACTCTGCTTGATTTTCAAAAACTAAAAAGTCACTTGAACTTCTGTGGAACCCCAAGTTCCTTTTTTATTCCAGATTCTATTGTACTTTTGAGGAAACAGAGCTTTTCAGGTACTAAACTTTTTGGTTAGCATGTAATTTTAAGGGATCCAATTTTAAGTCCTCTTGTCCAATGCTTACAAAAGAAACAGAAATTTAAATACATTTCTTTCCTGAGCTCAAGGCTAATACCTTGAGACACATTTGGGAAGCAAAACTAAATAGGAAACAAGATTTTCTTTGTTCTAGTGAAAAATCTCAGAAAAACAATTATCTCAAATTTAGTATCCTTCAATTCCCTCTATTTACATGAATAGTCTAAAATCGTAGAGTAGTAAAATAAAATTATATTCTAGCCCTGCAGTCTTGTAGTAGTGTACAACTCATACTGATCTAGCTTTTAGCTAATGTGGAGAAATCAGAACCTATTCCTTTTAGAATAAAGTTTTAATTATGTGTATGTGTACAAGTGCAGTGCTTGCAGAGATCACAGGTACTGGCTCCTCTAAGCTAGTTACAGGCTGTTGTGAGCCACCCACATGGTGTTGGTAACCAAGCTCTGGCCCTCTGCAAGAACAGTACACAGTCCAAACCACTGAGCACCTTGCCAACCCTACCAACAATGTTACTTTTAGGCAACATTTTGATTATTACTTTTTTAAAAAGCAAGGCTTGGGTTGGAGATATAGCAGAGTACTTGCCTAGCACGCACAAAGCCCCAGGTTCAATACACACACACACACACACACACACACACACACACACACACACACACACACACACACACTTTCTTGAGCAAATTCACAAGGCTCTAATCACTCTCTAAAAATGCCAGAATATTTTAGTATCTTACCTTGGCTTTAGAGCAGTTTTAAAACTAAAAAGCAGTTCCTCTCCTAGAACTACCCAAGTTGTGTGTTCTCATTTCTAAATACAATATAAAGTTATAATTAAGAAGAATAGAATTAAAGTTAAGAAGAAACTACAAAATATACTGACCAATTTTTCCAAAAGGATCATCCTTGAAAGGATCACCTGTGACAAAAGAAGTAAACAAAAATTAAAATGCAGTCAGTCAGTGGTGCCACACACCTTTAATCCTAGCACTTGGGAGGTAAAGGCAGGCAGATCTCTATGAGTGCTGGGATTAAAGGCGTGAGCCAACACCACCGCCCGGCTTTTACTGTCATTTTAGTTTAGTTTTGTTTTTAAGATAATAGTCTCACTGTGTAGCCCTGGCTATCTATGTAGACTAGACTGGCTGAACTCAAGAGACCCATCTATGTCTGACTCTTGAGTACTAGGACTAAAGGTTTGTGTCACTGCACCGTGAGCTTCTAATGAATCAAAATTACAGTGTTGGTGCGCTCTCTCTCTCTCCTTTCCCTTCCCTTCCCTTCCCTTCCTTTCTTTTTTTAAGTTTCCTGAGGCAGTTTTGTTCTGTAGCTCAGGTTAAACTCAAATTTGCAAAGTACTGGGATTACAGCAGTGTGATCCCATGATTGACCTGCTGTTGGCATTTCAGTAATTATTAGCTAAATAACGTGAGTCATGAGTGTGTAATCTCTACCACTGGACTATAATATATCTTTCCTGTGGAGTCTACTCTGAGGAAGAAACATTCTCTTAGTCAGAGAATTGTACAGTATAATGCAGAGGTTAAATATTAGCAAATAAAAAGAATAGAAACCCATATTTTCAGCTTTTCTTATGTTGTAAAAAATGTTTTCAAAACTGAAGCCTCCATGTTTATATAGTTTATATATCAGAAAGTGTTATACACTTACAAAAGAAAGATACTTACTGCCAACAAAAGGATCGGACTGGAAAAAATCCAAGTTCGCATCTGCAACTGGATCTGTCAGTGAACTTGATTCTACATTAAATGGATCTTCCTAGAAATAATTTTTAATGAAAACAGATATTTTAGTAACCAAACATTTAAAAGATAATACTTCAATGACCCATGTTCAGATCATATACAAACTTTGAAAAAAATCAGTAAATATTCTTGCAGCTACAAAGAACATTTAAGACAAGTGACAAGAACAACTGAATGCATAATTATCTTCACCTCTTTTGAATGCTTGTCATCATCAAATCTGGGACTAACTTTTTCATTACCAGCTGCAGTCACAACTTCGTTTTCATCAGTCACATCAGAAGCTGCTATTTCAGGACTACTTCTCACCTACCAAAAATACATACGTGAGTATGAAGGATTAAAAATCTTTTGTCTCAGGCCGGGCGTTGGTGGCGCATGCCTTTAATCCCAGCACTTGGGAGGCAGAGGCAGGCGGATCTCTGTGAATTCGAGGCCAGCCTGGTCTCTAGAGCGAATGCCAGGATAGGCTCAAAAGCTACACAGAGAAACCCTCGAGGGAAAAAAAAAATGTCTCAGGCTGGTGAGGTGGCTCAGTGGGTAAAGGCATTTGTTGCTAAGCCCAACGACCTGAATTCAATCTCCAGGACCAATTTCTGCTAGTTTTCTTCTGGATTCCACAAGAACACTGTGGCATGTCAATATCCACCCCCCCCACACCCCATAATTGGATAAGATTATTTTAATAACTTTTTTTTTTTTTGAGAGACAGGGTCTTACTGTGCAGTCTGTTCTAGAACTCACTATGTAAACCAGACTAACCTCAAACTCAAAAAGATTCACTCTGCTTCCTGAGTGCTGGAATTTAAAGGTATGAACCAAGCCTGGCGGTGGTGGCACACGCCTTTAGTTCCAGCACTCAGGAGGCAGAGGCAGGTGGACTTCTGTGAGTTGGAGACCAGCCTGGTCTATAAGAGCTAGTTCCAGCCACAGAGAAACCCTGACTTGGAAAACCAAAATAAATAAATAAATAAATAAATAAACAAACGTTTGAACCACCACGCCTAGCTAAAAACATTTTTTAAACTGTATACATATGCACAGGTATTCTAAAATTTATTTTGGTACTGGGAATCAAACCCAGGGCCTCTTGGAGGATATGAAAACTATTTGCCACTATGCTATATGCCTAGTCCCTTAAAATCCTTTTTATATCCAACACTAAGTGGTTAGCTTTGAACACACACAAGTAACATTATATGGACTGAGCAGGTGGCATTTACATATTTAGGAATATATAAATAATAATTAGGTAAATAGTGCTTGGTGCACAAGCATGAATAACTAACTCAGTTCAGGTTTGGAACACCCAAGTAAAAGCCAGGCATGATGGTGTGTAACTAGCCTCACGCTGGAGTGGCAGGGTCAGGGAGACACCCCTGTTTTGGCTAAAATAGCAAGCTCTATTTTCAGTGAGGAGACCCTGTCTCAAAAATTAAGGTATAGAGTGGCATCAGAAGACCAAAGTTGAACGCTGGCCTCTACACTTGCACATATGGAT